CAAGGTTTGGGCGGCTGGGGTGGGAATACTAGCTACGCAGAGCGAGCGCAATGGGGAGGGGCAGCGTGAAAGAAGCATAGGTAGCTGCCCCGTGACACAGCGCGAGCGACCACAGCGCAAACCGTAAACCCTAAACCCTAGAGCCCCAAACCCTCAACCCTAAACCGTAAACCCTAAACCCTACAGCCCCAAACCCTACACCCTAAAACGCCCCCTCCCCCCCCCTCCCCTCGTGTTCTCAGTTTTCGGCTCCTGTCTTCCAGCGTACCGAGACAGGCTTTGCTTCTTTCTTCGTCGAAGTCCTCGGGAGTCTCCATGTCCGCATCTGTCATGAGCCTGCGATACGTACAGGGGGAGGGGGGGCCTGGGGGGGGTTTAGGGTTTTTTTTTTAAGGGGCATGGGGGGGTCTGAAGAAATTAAGGGTGCTTTTCTGCTAGGGATCCAGCTATATCCGAGTGTTTGGGCCGGGCTGGTTTCCTGCAGCTCGCGCGTGAAACCCAGCTGTCGCCACTGGTACATTTATCATTTGTCACCAGAACTCTACTGTTCACATAATCAACTATGGCAGGAACGGAGTGATACCATTGTACGACTTGACTACGCTGGACTCTAGACAAACATCACGTTGCGGCTTACTTGCGGGGTTTATCTTAAATGGGCTCCATCCTAAACCGCAACTGTTAACTGCAACATGACTTAAAACCTAATCCTATAAATCCCCTGGACTCTAACATCCCGAAACTCGGAACCCTCAACCCCAAAATCCTAGGCTCTAAACCCTCACCCGAAATCCCAACCCTAAAACCCTAAACCTCTAAACCCTAAAATCCTAAGCCCTAAACCCTACATCCTGGAACCCTAAACCCTAAACCCTAAACCTCTAAACCCCTCAGACCCGCATTAGCAGCCTGCTGCTGATGTCGAGGAGGAGTTTCCGGACACCTCTCTCCGGATCCTTCCTGCAGGGATCGTCTTCAGCGATGTGGGGTCTGGTTAGGGTTTAAGGTTGTGAGTTTAGGGTTTCGAGGTTAGTGTTTCGGGCTTTGACTTTAGGGTTTAGGGTGGTTGGGGTGGTTTTTGGAGCTGAGAGGCTTAAGGCTCGAGCCTTTGCGCGGGTCGGCTAAGTTCGGACTTTAGGGTTTAGGGTTTAGGGTTTAGGGTTTAGGGTTTAGGGTTTAGGGCTCGGCTTCGGCGGACTTGACAGTTTTCAACGCTCTTGGAAGCGCGCCTTTCTCTCTCTGACTCGGAGTCGTCATCTGACCCGGTACCTCGCAAAGCCGTACCACATGGATACTATGGGGGCTGCGGGCTCCCGTGAGGGGGTACTGTAAGGAGTGCTCGGTAAGGACATCACTTAGGCACTGCCTCACGGGCACTTGCGAAGGTTATCCAACATAATGCATGACCCTCTTGATAGGAGGCCATGTAGAACGCCTGCACCCCGAAACCCGCAATCGAACTGGGATCTTGGCACAACCCGCTTTCGTAGCTGCTGGACAGACTTGAACTCATCTTGGGACTCAGCTGAAACCAGCAAACCAGGGTGGCTAGTAGTCAGATGGGAGTTTCAAAACACTGCCTGACATAGAACCCTACATCATGGAACGGTGAATCCAAACAGAAAAGGGGGCCTCCAAACAAACGGTACAAGCACCGCTTTTTTTTTTTGCGAAGCCCCTTTGAAGAAGGAGGCCGAGGCCAAAGGCTTCATTGCAGCTGAGGGGCTGAGAGGGGCGTAAGTTCGCAACCCCCCAACCTGCACGGCGCCAGCGCGATCCGAAGGAGAATCCGGCCGTTCAGGTTCGGGTCCATCCGAGACTTCCTCATAATCATCCTGGGTAGAACAGCTGCGTGGACAACAGCGAAGGTAACTCCACGCCATCTGAAACTCTGCAGTTGTGCAGCATCTCACGAGGAAAACAAAGCCTAGGCTGCCAGAGAGCATCAGCCTCGGCCATCGGACCTGCTGCCTTGCTAGGTCATGGCGCGAAGAGCGGATGTGATCCAGGATTGCACTTTCTGGTTTTGGTGCGCATGAGTGCGCTGCTTACTTGGTCATGTTGCCCCATGAGGACCGAACTAAGCCATGAACCATCCGACCGAGACCATGGCAGAAAGACAACCTCATGCAGGATTGGAGCGTCTGTGTTGCAATCCCCTGCGATGTCTCGGTGTGCTGTGAACCCTTCTAGCCCTTCTTCTTCTACTTTGATTCCCTACGCTCTTGGAGCCTATCCTACCTCACCCATTGCAACTCCAGCATCTTGCCTATTGAGAACTGCTGCAGCCGGAACAGCTTCGGCCGCCGTGATGCTGTTCGGTGAAGATCCCATTATCATACTACAATAGTCCCAGAACCCTACTTCTAAGTGTGTCAGCAGCTGGATGGAGGATGGAGCAAGATACTGCACCAAGCCGGCTCTGCACGTGCAGCTGGTGTGGTAAAGCAGTTTTGTTTGCGCACCTTTCCGGTTCACAGCAGAAGCGGACATGCTTTGTCCAACTTCTGTGACTGCAAACCGAGTTCGACTATTGCCATGCGCCACAGCAGAACGATCGACTTTGCCACGGCGCTCAACAAATGGAGCTTGGGTCTCGTGCATTCAGAACGACTTCTGTTCCGAGGAGACTGGAAGCGACTGGGTCACGTCAGTCATGTTCCTGGAAACTCTGCCGGTGCTTCAAAACGTCTCTGGCCCGCGTCCGATTACGATCACCATCCCGGAAACAATACGGTTTTTGTGCGACAGTAGCAATAAACTATACTGTCCTACTGAGGTACCAAGCATCGTGAACAGTATCGCTGCAGGCAACATCATGACGAAGGATTCTGGCAGCCAAGTCGGAAAGCGTCTGGTTGCTCTAAAACAAAGCAGCCGATTGACAGCACTACAACGAGAAGGTCTAGCCTCACTGAATGCGGCTTGATGTGTTGGCTTCACGTTACACTCGGTTCCAACGTGGCTGCCGCGCTTCGAGTGAAAACAAGACGGCGAGATGCGCCGAGCTGGCGCGCACTTGCCGTCTGCAGAGAAATCAGCGAGATTGCTCGACCACGATACCTGCCAGAATCACATCTGCGTTCTGCACATCTGCTCTGTGGTCGACACACTCATTGAATCAGCGTAGTCAAGCGTAGTGATGGGGGTTTGTCGCCTCTCAGCGGTTCTGAACATCAGAACAGTCGTTGTGATCATCGCCAGCGTCGTCGCCATCACGGTCATCAAGTTGAAGACAACGGTCGGCAACATCATCAGCTGCAGCAGCGTCACATCAAACACACCGTGATGATAATCGCCACCACTAGCAGCAACATCATCAGCTGCAGCAGCATCCTCAATATCAGCAGCACCTCCAATACACTATCACAACCACCATCACCGCCAGCCTCTGCTTCACGGCCCCTGCTTTTTGCGCAGTGGTCCCGGAACCAAGGCGTGTGAGCAGTGGACACAAGGCTGCCAGCACTCCCCCAAGCCTCCACGGTTCCGAAGGGAATCCAGAAGAGCGCTATCCTGAAGCTTGTCTCAGGTTCACCTATCCTTCTTGGATGAGGTTGATGATGATGATGATGATGATGATGATACAGCCGAGGCCGATCGAAATAATGTTCGTGATCATCTGCATCACATGGGGTCACAGCGGAGAGAATGATACCTCACCAGGACCATGCTCACCAGACATGAACAGGAGAAAATCCAAGAACGAACATGATGCTGATGATTATCTGACTTAGGTGGCGACCATCAGCTAATATGATGTACTGTTGAAGACGCAACGAAGCAAGAGGCGAACACGTTGAACAAGAGCAAGTGCCAAGACAGCTCGACAAGCAATTACAGCCGATAGTGGCCACTGCCTCCTGCTTAGACAAGCAGCAAAGAGGTCAAACAAATTAATGACACAGAAATCACAGAAGCTGGCAAATATGTGCGTGGTCCGTGTCCGTCCTTCTCCTTCTTTGGATCTTGCAAGGACCGTGGCCGGCAGTGCGAGTCCAGAGCCTGGCTCTGCTTGCTTAGCAAACCCCCTCGCAGGGCTATGAATTCCTCAAGCGCCACCCTCGGAATTACTATCGTTCTTGCAGTCACTACCAGCCATACATGTAGCACGATCCCCTTTTGGTTCGTGGCTCTCAGTTCTGGCAGTGGTATGGTGTGCTTGTAACCTTTACCAGTACTGTCATTTAACATCGCAGGCGGCGTCCGTCGACCAAAGAGACGGGCACCATCGTCTGCTCTTGGCACGCCACGTCTGAAGCTTCCTTCTAACCCCGAAATATGCTCTCTCTACATAGCCTTTATCTACCCTAAAGCTTTTAAAGTACATGTCTAGAATCCCCTTTTACCCGGAGATGCAACAGAGACGTCCTCAAAATCGAGGCCTCGGGGCCCCAACGGGGCCTTCGCAGCGGAGCCCAGCATCGACTGGCCCCAATGGACCACGGAGGCCCCGAGGGCTGCCGTCTTCACCACCAAGTCCTGTGGGAGGGCTCGCCGGTCTGTAGGCTCTTAGGGTTTAGGGTTTGGGGTATGGATATAGATATAGATATAGATATAGATATAGATATAGATATAGATATAGATATAGATATAGATATAGATATAGATATAGACTTACATATTGATTTAGGGTTCAGGGCTGATGGTTACGGCTTAGGGTTTGGAGCTTCGGCTGGTATCAGAGTGTTTGGTTTCTCTCCTTGTTCTCCCGTGAATGCTTTCGATCCTGAGCGCTGCGTGCTTTCTGAAGCATTGTGTTCTTAGAGTTCCAAGCTGTGGCGGTGATATGTCCGGCCAAAGCATGTCCCTGGCTGAGCAACTTGTGAAGCCGTTGTAAGTAGAAGGTGTTCACACCTTTTTGCAGCAGGCTTGCCTCGTCGCCTTAAACCCGAAACCTCATCTTGTGTTTCATCGGCTTAAGCTTGTGTAAGGGTTTACGGTTCAGGGTTCGGGACTTACATATTTTGTAGGGTGGACTTGTCGCTCGAAGGGCAGGCAAACGATGGAACGTCCATCAACACGAAGAACCAGCGCTGCAACCCTTTGCATCTGACTTGAGTCATAGCCACACACACCGAGCCCAATGCTTCTTAAGAGGCCGTGCTAGCTGATGCTAAAGCCAGTAAACTAATTAACCATAACAGCAACGGCGATAACAAGGAGTACATCTGAATCCCAGGCCTGCGTGCTCTCCCGCGCGGCATTTGCCAATCGCGTCACTGGACTCCCCTGCAGACACAGTATAGCAGCAACGATGAGACATCTCGTAAGGGGCTTCTATTTTTTGCTGCATGATCGGTGCAAAAAGCGTCTTCTTTTGGCGACTGGATCTCGATACAGTGCCGTAAAAGATATGGCTCATGCCAGCGACTCCTCGTGCACAGGGCAAGAAGGATGATGGGGAGTCGCTGCCCAGGCACGACAACAAGCAACAGTGTCAGTGGTGGAACTAACTTCCTGTGCATACTTGCAGGCTGTGAGCGACAACCTGCCTGCTCCGAGAGCAACGGGCTTTCGACTTCCCAAAGCTGCACAGCCACCTTGCACAGAAGCAAGTAGGCAAAGGAGGTTGCGCTGTTCGTGGCCTTGGGTGCCATGGCGTTCTTCCTTTCATCTTCCAGATCACGAACTGAATCGTTGTGTGTGTTCTAGCATGTTGGGTCATTGCCGCAGCCATTTCTGGTACTGCGGTTAATGCTTTCCCTTGGAGCCAACGCCGTGCCTGTATGGCGAGTTTGAGCGGGAAGCGCCTCCTGGCGACATCAATTCACAACTATTGATCCAATTCCATCCAATTCCCCAGGAGCGTGCGTACTGAAAATCAGGCAGTGTTAACTATCTGTCAGAAGCCGTCTGCCCATGCTACAATGGAACCTATCGCCAAAATATTGCTTTTGAATTCGGACCAGCACATGAAGTACCAATATGTTGTGTAATGTACGATGTGTCCAAGAAAAAGTCTACAATCTTGAAGCGGAGCATGGGTTTGTCGCTCACCTCAGCGGCGGATAGGGGCCGGCGGTGGCAGCCAAACAACTCCTCAAGTTCAGCCGATCTGCCTGCGTGGCCAATGGAGTTTCGAGTTAATGACTGACATGCTGATGCTGGTGGAAGTGGTGGTTCGTGTAGCAGCATCTTCATGAACCGGACTACAACACCAACGAAGATTCCGCCGGCAAGCAGTGCTCCCAGACAAGCCAAAGGACAACCAGAAAATTGTTCGAAGAAGAGCACAGGTGGCAAGCACAATGAAACTAAACAGGGGCAGTCATGGAAGAACTGCGGAATCATTGCAATTACAATGCAGATGAAAAACAGATATTACACACCCAAACCCAAAACGCCAAATCCTCCCATGGCTCAGTTCAGCACACCTGCCTCGCTGAGTTCGGTCTGCGAAGGAGACAAGCGCTCGCTCTTCCGATCTGTCGCGCATTGCCGTTTTTGAAACACCAATATATAAGACTAGTATCACACAATATATGTATATATATATATATATGTTCACATATATGTTGATAGTTGTACGGTTCGATTGCTTGTATATGTGTTTGTTTGGATAGATAATACATGTGTATATCTATACTCCTATATGCATTGGCCATGCATATGCATACAGTATGTATGTACCTTTGTATTTGTCTGATTTTATGTTTTCGCATTGGTGTATGAGACTATGTACTATTCACTTGCTGATATATTTGTATGAATATGCATATATATATATATACATATATATTTATATATATACATATATATATATATATACATATATATATATATATCCACATAGATACAGATGTAGGTCTAGCTATAGATACATAACGAAATAGAAACAGGTATAGATGTAGATTTGGATATGGATGTACTGTTATGTCGTTTACTTGCTCATTTATCTATTTCTTGCTTTATTGACTTTACTGATCTACTGATTGCCTTGCTCATTTTCATCTACCTAAGTGTTTACCGACTTTGCTTTTTTGCTCCAACTATTTAGATGTGTCTTTTTACTTGCTTATCTATCTATGTATCCCTTCTGTTGGTGATATGCTTGGGCCTCCGGGCTTCGGGGATTCGTGGGGTTTAGGGTTTAGGGTTTAGGGTTGAGGGTTTCGGGTTTAGGCTTCAGGG